TATCCGCTTTTTCAACCTACAATTTTGCATACAAATTTTTGTCACAACAACATAATAAAAATAAAATTAAGTTTTCTTTTATTCAACTTACCTTCTGCTTCTTCTTCTGGGGTGCAGGACATTCCGAATCCAAATCTGCTGCTATAACACTCTCCGGTGTATAAATGACATCGACTTCCTTCCTCCTCATTTCTTCCATCTCTTCTTCTTCCTCTTCCCTCTTTTCTTCTTCATATTTTTTCAGTTCATCGTATTTTTTTTTCTATATAGCTCTTCATATCTTTTATTTCACCCTTCAATTGATCTCCTTCATCCAAGTATTTATCAACCACCCCCTTCACCCCCGTAAGTTCACTCCTCAATTCCACAACCTCCTTCACCACTCCCTCAAATTTTTCACCCGTCACCATCTTAATATCACCCCTTAACACCCCAACTTCTTTCACCACTTCACCCCTCAACACCTCTACTTCTTTCACCACTCTATCTATTTTTCCTTCCACTACCCCCTTATGCCTCTCAAGTGTATCTTTGACTCTCTCAAGTTTCTCTTCGACTCTATCAAGTTTCTCTTCGACTCTTGATTGTCTTTGCATGATATCAAATTGGATTTTTTTGATATCAGCCAATTCAGACATCAAAATGTTGAAGTTACTATGTTTTCCCTCACCGTCGTCCCACTCACCGTCATCCCCCAATACAACCATCTCTCCTTTCTTCTCCTCTGCCTCCACTGCCTCCTCTACATCCTTGCCAATATCCTTCAAAATTAAATTACAATATTAAGAAATTGATTATATTCTTAATATTATTTAATTACATTTATTACCCTTTCTTGCTTCTTCGCTCTATCCAACTTCAACTTCACCATCACTCTAACCACCTCTTCCTTCCCCCATGCACGGATGCGTGCCACTCCGGTTCTTTCATAAACCGGCACTGCCTCACAGCCCGACCAAAAATCGAACAGTGCAACCTGCATTTATAATAAAATTTATATTTTTATATAAAAACACAAAAAAAGTTATTCAACTCATTTACCTCTAAGATTGCTATGCACCCTTTGAGGTATCTCTGGCTGCCCTTTTTAAAGGTGATTATTGATTCAATCAATCTCGAATGGATATATTCAGCCCAATTGAATTCACCCTTCAAGCCTTCATCGCAAATGAGCTTCATATGTTCCTTGTTCGTTGACGTATAACCCGTTGGACAAAGAAATATACCGACAAGGTATAATAGAACTCTGGCCTTCAGCTCATCCCCAACGTAAGATCCACTTTTTATTTCCTCTTCAATTTCAGCATATGTCACCTTCTGCTTCAAACCATATTTGGAGGCAAGTGCTTTCCAGTCCTTACTCTTACAGACTTCTACAACACTTTTGCCTTCATTTTCTACCCTCAATACGGCTGCAGCACATGGGATCCTGAGAGGAAATGAAAAATCACCATACTTAGAAATACATTGTCTGACATCAAATTGCGCCATCAAGGATCAACACAATTCCCTCTGAATAGGTCGATCCCTTACTCTTACCAACGATCCAAAACCTATTTCTCCCAGCACATTTAACTGACCCTTCTCCTTAAGGTGTTTAATTAATGAATTCACCCTTTTAATGCTGCATCTTGTCGACACTTCCTACATTTTTTAACAATATATAATGTTATAGTTCTTATATATTTTGTATCAACGTATTTACAAGTTTAATGAATACCTTATTTTCATGTGCTTTCCTCCGTTCTTTGTATTCTTTACTATCATTCCTTGACTGTGTGATGTAAGGTTCCTTTTCAGCATCACTCATTGAATTCCATTTGGACCTCACATCTTTTGTCACCTAATATTAAACATAAACGATTCTTAATCAATACATTAACACTAAATACTACTCAATGTCAATTTCATTTTACATACCGAACTGCTCTGTGTGCCATCTTCCTTCATCCTTTTGCATTCGGCCATACTGTCAACATTTAAAATTTGTAATCAATTTAAAGTTTATCGATACTTTAATCCAATTACCATTTCAACAATAATAACAAAAAGACATTGATACTTACTAGAAGTACATATATCCACCCTTTGGTTGCTTTCGAGTCTCGGCCTCAATTTCAAAGTCATCTGCGCCACCAACAATTTTCCAACCCATTGACTCCATTTTTCTTTCATATATCAGTTTATGCAAATCAAATTATTTTGTTACATACACTTTATTCAATATACAAATATAGATAACTACTCTCGTGGTAAAACGGTATTCTTCAAAAGAATTTGAATGGCCACACCAAAATGTGTCGGCACATTTATACAACCTATAATATCATTTTCTACCTATAATATTTAATAAAAGTATCGACATTTATATTTTACCTTCAATATCACTTTCTACCTGCAATCGGACCCATATGCTTCTTTACTCCAAAACCCCAAACAACACATAAAAACCCTATTCGCGATTACTGTAATAATAAAAAACTAGGGTTTCGACAACATACTTTTCGATTCGACTGCATCAACAATAAACAAACTTCGCTTTAGAAACGCCTTCTGAAATGCAGCAACAATTACGCTTCGATTTCAAAAACTCGTCCGTTCTATCGATTTTCAGAGGATATTTAGATATGGCCTTTATATTTTCATCGGATATGTTATTTATATTTAATCGATACAAATACAAAAGTGTAGATACTTTTATGTCAGGTGTCGATACTTTCGAAAGGATAATTACCTATTTCTTTGAAAGTGTCGATAATTTATTACACATACTTACGAAAGTATCGACACTTTCAATATATCCGGTATCATTTTACGATTTTATCATTTTGATACCGGTTTTATCATATTTTTACCTGTTATATCGTTGTGGATCGATATATTTTTTTTAAAGTATCGACACATTATAGGCGCTAAAACTGCTTCTCTTTTAAATTCACAAAGTGTCGATCCTTATATAAAGTATCGACACTTTCAATATATCCGGTAAAGTTTTACCGGTTTTATCATTTTGTTACTGGTTTTATCATATTTTTACATGGTATATCGTTTTGGATCGATACATTTTTTAAAAGTATCAACACTTTATAGGATTTAAAACTGCTTCTCTTTTAAATTCACGAAGTGTCGATCATTATATTAAAGTACCGACACTTTAAATGTATCCGGTAGAGCTTTACCGATTTTATCATTTCAATACCGGTTTTGTCATAGTTTTACCTGTTATATCGTTTTGGATCGACACATTTTTAATTTGGATCAACACGAACCGACAAGTTAAGTTTACCGGTTGCACAATTTTTTAATATTTCTTCATGACTTAGAACTACTACATTATTATTAGTCAACATTTTCGGTAGCGCTAAACCGAATTTATTAAATATCTTTTAATGTATCCGGTAACACCGTATATTAACCGTATATTAACCCGCCTTTCCTGAGACAATCCCAATTTCACCACCACCTACACTAAACTACAACTTACAAACCCTACATTATTTTTGTAAATTTAAAAATCAATGCAGGAATTAAATAATGGTATCAGGGTTATTAGAGGACATTAGAAAAATAGCATTTTTAATTCACACCACCACGTACGTATTACGAGTATCTAGGAACAACTTTATCCATATTCCACGTTATCCATAGGTCATCAATTGACATCCCATGTTTTTGTTTTGTTTATTACTACATCTTTTTCCTATGTTTTTCTTTTGCGAGGCTGGCTACTTGTGGATTCACACGTGGAATATGATGTCTCGATTCGTGGACGGTTCAGCTTCAATTACTTAACGCTGTCACCCTGACGTGTCGCCTTACTATTTGACCTTCCGACGTAAGCGTTTCCAAAGAACCAAATTAAACCGGTTCAACTCGATCCTATGATATGGTAATGCTGTTTTCACATGAAGGGTAAATTCGTGACATTGTTTTCATTCTTTTAAGGAAACCCCACTACCAGAACTTGATCTTGAGTTAGGGGTGACAAATGGACGGATAGGTATGGATACTTTTTATTTTTATTTTACTTAATATTTTTATATTTATCGTATACTTATACTCTACTATAGGTAAAGTTTTTAAATTTATATCCGTCCAAGCGGATGCACTTTTAAATATATCTTCACATACTATCCAATTAGATATTTACCACTAATCTTATATCCGTCTATATATACTTGCACCTGGCTATACCCCCAATTTGAGATTGGAAAAACAACAATCTTCAATTATAAAAATCATTATACACTAACATTTGATTAAATTACAATTCATATCCTATAAAATCTTAAGATTTATATAATAGTATCTAGAATTATATCTAAATTCATAATGATACAAAATTTATATGGTGAGTAATTAGCGGTAGGATGAATTTAGGGTGGGCGGTGCGAGGCAGGTAAATACAGGACAAGTAAGGTATCAAATCCATCACCATATTACACACGGAGTATGACATTTTACATTCACATATATCCACTACCCACTAAACTTTTACTCATCCCCACTCCAATTAAAGTAGATACAATATGAAATCCACGAAATTATATCTATCTACCCTCCTTATTAAGCATTATTGTTCTTAAATTATTATTTGTTTATAATACACATTTACCCTTTTTGGCGTCTCTGTAGAAAATAATGTACAAAACAAAGAAAAGGAGCAATCTCATAATACAATGAAATATATCAATAAATTAATAAAGGCTAATATTGCTCTAGTAATGCAGCCTCATCCATGCGGCATGCGGTTCAGTGCCCATCATGTCGTACTTGCACGATTGCAAGATCCAGGGTCAAAAAAGTAGTAGGGCCCATTTCATATGTACTTGGACAAAGAGGCGGATAACCTAACCATTGGAAAATTGGGCACACAATTCCAATCATATCCAACCCCACACGGACACCATCGATGGCAGTTGATCACCGCCACTGATGAGCAGAGCACCACCAACCCAAAAAAGAAACCACCTTCTATAAACGGAAATAAAACAATCAAATCATATGGCAACAAAACAAACTAAAATCTCACTCTCTTATTTTATCTCCATAACCCCAAAATATAAACATTACCTTATCAATACACAGTACACGTCTTTCTTTTCTTCTCCCTTAAACCTATTTACAAATTTGATTATTTGCTAAATGTGTATAATCCCACTCTAAAACATGTAATTAATCATCGTGAACATAAAGGGAAGCTTTCTAGTTGTAGCATTTGGGGGCTTATTGATGCTTCTTCTCACGTGTTTATATACATGATACATTGACAATGGCGGCTCTTTAAACTTCTGAGAGCAAGAAGGAAGAACACTACGGCGGGTATTGGCTAATATTGTATGATTAATCCTCCCATCGGAGCTCGATGGGGAATCCCCTTTCTTCTTTTGGCAGTTCTGTAATTAACCAGAGTCGGAGGCGGCGTCGGAGGGCTGAAGCTCTGCACTTTGTTGTTCAACTTTCCGTAGCTGCTGCTGCTGCATGAATCCTCGGAGTCCGATGCCAGAGCAGCCGTGTGCCTCCGCTTCTTCTGGAAATTTCCCGATGTCCCCACAATCTGCAATTTGAAAGGAGGAAAAAGTTAAACATAGGTTTCACCAAACGAAATTTATGCATATTTGACCGTCTTAGTTTGGAAAAACTAGAACCTTTAAAGTCGTACAGCTTAGCTTTCTCAGCTACCAAACAACAGCGTTACTACCGAGAAAATTAATTAAAGAAAGAAGAAACAGCGGATTTTACCTTGCAACCGAGAGAGCAGAATCGGAAGGAGTCGACGAGGCTACGATCACAGACCTCACAAGTGTTGGAGACGCCTTTTCCGGGCCTGGGTTGAGGCCTCTCGTTGATGAAGACGACCTTTGCGCTGTTAATAACATACGTTTGGACACCAGATATATCCACGTATTTTTGTATCTCGGATACCCTTATCACATCATGGTATGAGGATCTCCTAATCTGTCAAAAAAAAAAAAAACAGAGCAAATGGCGTTAGAAAATCGAAATAAATGTGGAATCTTGGTGATGAACGAGAAAAAAAAGGGTAAATTTCAATGAGAAAGTTGTGAGATTTTTCTAGTCTTATCTATCAAGAAATGCAAAATCAGATTAGACCATTTCCACGAGAAAAGCATACAGATTAAGGAGTTTTTTTTGTGGGATTGGTTAATAGATCGGAAAATCACCATTGGTTAATAATGAACCTGAATACAACGATGATCCTTGTGATAAGCTAGACACAAAGAGCAGAAAGCGCCATTAATACAATCCAAGCAGTACATATTGCATTCACTCTTGTGAGAATCAGCATGAAGCTTGCATTGAACAAAGAAATGTTCTCTCAACAAAGGCTTCAACCATGGCGGCCACATGTTGTCGTCTTCATCAGGTCCACCAGCACCCTATAAGAAAACACACATTTTTAATCAACACCCAAAGCAAAGAAACCAATAGGAAGTTGTAAATACAAAAGCTAAATTCAAAAAGTTCTCTTTTTTAATGGAAGAATGAAGATACCATGAATCTTCTGTTCTTGGGCTTGATTTCACGAACAGTTGATTCTTGGTTCTCGATCGCCAGCTTGAAAGACTTCAAGTGAGTGAGCTGATAGAAAGAGGAGAGAAGGCGGCGAACAGAGGTAAGAGCAGAGAAGGCAAAATTAAAATGAGAAAAAAGGATAATATTCTGAGAGATGGGAGATGGGTTAGGTGCAAGGAACCCACCTCTTTCTTTCCTTTCATTTTCACCTGTACATACATTTTTTCTCATTTTTATTCTTTAGGTAAACTACGCAATTAATACCTAAAATATCAATTTTTCTGTTTTAGTACTTAAGCTTTCAATTACTTTAAAACCATACCTAATATTTAGTTTTTATTTCATTTTAGTACCTAAACTTTCAATTATTTCAATTATATCAATATCACCGATAAAAAAATTAACGCTACGTAACTAAAATAAAACTAAAACGTAATGTTATGTATGATTTTAAATGGATTGCTTATTTGATTTGAAAATAAAAGTCTAATTGACAACACTATTAATATGTGTTATCAATTAGACTTTAATTCCTAAATCATATATTTTAGCTTTCAGATTAGAACAACGGATTTTCAAAAGCTTAAAGAGTACAAATACACAAGACAAAATTGAACATTTTTATTATAATTAATTATTTGTCAATTAGGGTTTGTTTAATTCCTTTTGATTGATTATGGTATCACAATTTTATTTACAAAATATAAGGGGGGAGATCAGTCAAATAAAATGAATAGCAACATGAAGACAAATTAATTAGGGGGAAAGCCTAACCCATGAAAGCTTAGCCATATAGAGTAGGGATGGACCAGGTTGATATCAAGGTTTGGTTTGCCAAACCCTTTATTACAATACAAAACATTTAAAAAAATTTGGAAATCAATACCATAATAATATAAACTAATAATTGAACATCTTATAAATATAAGATGAAGAATCAGTTTCATGCACATGAGGATAATATAATCAGAGGAGTGTTGATGTTTTTATTGGAATCATAATAAAATTAGGTCCCAAATTTAATAACAAAAGATCACATGTAAATTGGATTGAATATAGTTTATGTAGATTTTAGGTGCATGATAAGCAATCCCATCAAACATTGTTGGGATTTTTATTCAATTTCACCCATGAGTTGATTGAAGACCCAATTCACATCACTCATCATTACTGATCCCCAACTTCCAAATTCCATGTGCAAATTGCCAAATTGTTTCTTTCCATTAGGCATTGATTTGCATTACAATATGTGATTTGATTTGAATAGGGAGGGGAATGGGTCGGGTCGGGTCGGGTTGGATTGGATTGGGTTTTCGATTAACTCGATCTGTCCTGAAGATATGGATTTTTTTTATCTAAAATTCAATCTGAATTAAGTATAGGGATGACTTCACCTGACCTGATTTTTTGAGATAAAATCCTACTAGAAATAAATATGTTTATAAAAATATTATTTATATTCAATAAAAAATAAGAATCTAATTGAAAAAAATAATATAGAGATGGTTATTATTGCAGTTATCCCTAAATATATAAGATAAATTTATATTATTTTTTGGGTTGAGACGACCCTTTTTACCCTAAACTCAAACTTGGACCGAACATATTTTTTTTAAAACTAACCAAACCCGGTTTTTAAAGGAAAACTCGATCCGATCAAATCGAATCAAATTGAAACTCGTCGAATTCGAGTCTCGTGTCCATCCCTATTCGGGTTTGTATATTTTTGTTAAACTATGATTATCGTGTCCATACAATCATATATATGTGTGTGTTTATAGGGTTTGCTATATTCTTATATAATTTATTTTATAATTTGTTAACGAACAGTAACAAATGCACATGTAATTAAGGGTGGATACATGTCCACTGTGAAATTTGAATTTTCTTTATTTATTTACTAATTTAATTAATGTGCCCATCCTTAAATTTTATTTGGTCTCATACTATTCAAAAATTAAAATATTAATATATGCGCGTCCACTCTAAAAAAATTATAAATCCGTCTCTATTAATTACTATGATAAAAAATCCCTTTATTATGATTTTTTATTTTAGGTTTTTTTCCATATAAATTCATGTACTTTCATCACTTTGTATTACTTTACGATCATTTACTTATTGATATAGATAACAATTAGGTTAAACACTTACTCTTGGAACAGGGAGAAGGAAGATCATGCCACTTTAAATGATCCACGTCACTAAGCATGCCATTATCTTTAAGAAATAGGGTTATTATTACATGTCCCTATAATTCAGATTTTGGTATCCTCTAAGATTTTCACACATCTTTAATGGGATTTATGGGGAAAGGAGATTATTTTTCTCATAAAATAAAGTTTATAAATCTTAATCCCCTCCTCCTCCTCCTTCATAAATGTTTTGTTGGCAATGTCAGACTGTGGTGGTGAAATTTCTTGGAACATTCACATGGAAATAATTTTATATAATATGACCATACTTGCTATGCATCCGATATGTCCATATCATGAGATTCAAGTCATTAAGTTTCTTCGAAATTCTTTAGGTTTAAGCCAGAAAGAAACTTCATTTTTTTTTCTTTCATGTTGAAATTACCTAATGTACATAAGAGCTTAGCAACGGTTGGAATATTTACATGCCAAATGCATCAAAATGAGTAGTAAACTTTTCTTTATCATAAGAATGAATATACAATTTTATACCACGAGTGAATTTATAAATTTTTAGGTCAAAAATAAAATATCAATAAAATATTTTAGACGAGAATTTGAGTTTTTAAAAAAAAATAATCTCTATCAATACCTAGTATGTCCTTATTTTCCCATTATTATTAGTATTATTATTATTATTATAATAAAGTTGGTGTAATATAAAGTTTAAATATGAAAATAGGTTTGATGGTCAAAGACAAGGAGTATGGAGTGTGTTCCAAATCCAAACGATTACTTTATGAGTTAGAATAATTGGGAACTGAAGCTCTTCTTATTATCCTCCAACATCCCCGGACAAGTAATTGCATCTTCTATGGAATCATCAACAACCGACTTAACCCAGAAAAAAAATCATAAATAAATAAAACCCAAAAAAATGTCTTTATATTACATCTTCTTTATATTACATCTTTCTTTATATTACATCTTTTCTCTTTATGTCACGTTTTTTGTCGTTTGATTGTTATTTTTTCTTATTTTTTTAGGATTGGATTTTACTTTTTTACGGTTAATCAATATGATGTTTTATTTGTTTTCATGTTGATTTTCCTTGTTTTGGACCCTTGGATCAAATTTGGATATGCCATTTTGTGTTCGTGGACAGTATTTTCACGTTGCTCAATCATGATTTGCGATTTCTCGGTGATCTTTCAATAGCTTCATCCTCTTTTGTGGTTATTTTATTAATGCGGTCATATTTATTCGTATCTATCTTTTATCCGAATTTATTTAGTTAAGTTTTTCAATAATTTCCTTATATGATCATTTTGATCTTAAAATGATTAATTTTCTCGTGTTTAGGAAAATATCCCTCGAACTCATTGTTGAATGAAATACGAAAGCAAGTCCAGCAAAGTAGGCTTTTCTTATAGGCGAAAAAACACAAGACAACAAAATCAACTTGTTTCTTCATTCAAATTCAATCAGTAAATTGCCGTCCACACTTTATCATCAATTAATATATGAATATTTAAAAATGTGTATTAAAATGTTAAAATTATACAACACTTTCTCGATTAATCTTTATTATTATATTATACAATTGGGCTGACCGACTGCGCTGCCCTTGACCATGTAAGTCAATGGTACGTGGTTTGAACTCAACCAACACGGCAAACCATTCGCGACTCCAGATAGAGAGAGAAAAAGGAGTAGCCGCTGTTTCATGATGCTACGTCGTTTTTAGGCACCGTGTGCTTTTGGTTGTTGTAGGGACTTTTGGGTTCTATTATTGCCACTGCTATGTGGGACCCCTCCTCTCCATTTAGTCTTCGTGGGTTCGGGTTCCGCCCAATGACATCCTGCCATGTCATCACATCAACGGTTTGACTTTGACTATTATTATTGTCATTATTTTTATTTCTTTTGTAAATTACAACATCTTTTACTATATTTCTTTTTGAAGAGAATATGCATGGCATAATCAATATGAAGACTAATTTCTAAGAAAAAAATCCCTAAAATGCAATTATATTCTATGAGGTTACTTAATATAATAATCTATATTTATAATATCTTTTAATCAATGACAACACAAATCCTACAGGTACAATTACTCGAATCAAAAATTTTAAAAGAGAACAACACTTTCTTTAATCATGAGGTAGCATAATAAATTTAACTTATTAGTGTTTTAAATAATAAGATTTTTTAATTAAAATTATTGTTTAATTTCTTAGTAAAAACAAAGTATTTATATAAATTTTGAAAGGTAGGAAGAAGAAATATCCAAGGGTTGGAGGCATGATTTTCATGGCCACGCCGCCCAATCAACTTGTGTCGATCTTTCTTTGTCATAACAACATAAAGTTGAATGTTTGCAATACCAAGATTAGATTAAATGGGAAAAGAATATGTGCCTGAAAGAAAACCTCATGGGAGTAAAAGGGCTCAATAAAAGAAATTAAAATAGCAGTGAAAATTCAGTATATTGGACTAGAACCAAAGCTAAAAGAACCTTACCTAATCCATTAAAACCAAAACAACTTTTGGAAGAGAGTACTGGTCTGTTCTTACAAGTTCCAATATGTATAAAAAAGACCATACCTTTAAAATTAGGGCTCTTTTTTTTTTTCTTTTTTGTCATTATGAAAAAGCATAAGCATTATACACGAACAATGGAATGATGATATCGATCAAAAGCATAAGTATAAAAATATATTATTTCTATCCCCATAGGAATCTGATAACGACAAGCAAATCGTATATGAAAACCATCCATTTTATGCAGTATTTATATGGTGTTTGGTGCGTTATTGGACTTTAAAAAGTTTGATGCCTTTGGATCTTTACGTTGGGAAGAAATGAAAAGATAGTAGTACTATGGGGAGAAAGGTAGTCTCTGAAGAGAAAAGATAGGGAAAAGATTACTTGTAAACAAGTTTAAAGACCAATATGTGACAATTCTTATGCAATACGTAAAGAAATTTCTGATATTTGATTTGGAAAAGTGTGAAATGGCGGGTGACTTTGTTAACTTGGTTAAGTACTTGCACATTAAGCTATTGGACAAAAGCCGAGTAGTTTACGTAATTA